GGTACATCTTTGATTGAGCCAGGCATATTCCAGTGTTTACACCATCCTGGAGCACGCAGTACTTAATTGACGTCAGCAAGTCGTAGGTGTTCTTGTGCAGAGCAAATGTAAATACATCTGCTTGACAGGATTTCCAATGACTGGTACATTGAATTTATGATCTTAGAAAGAACATGGTAAGCGAACCCTGGGGGTAACAAATCTGTACCCTATCCATAGAAGTATAGATTCATTTTGCTGTTTTTGCGAAAAATAACACGCCCTTTACCGTCTGGTGCCTACCTGTAAATTAAATAAATAAATAAATAAATAAATAAATAAATAAATAAATAAATAAATAAATAAATAAATAGTGATAAATAGTGATTTGCGGGATCTACCTGCCAACATGTACGATTCCTCGCAACACATCAAGCTTTGTAGGGTTTATCGACGGGCTCAGAGTTTATCGCTCCATCGTGACGTATTACGGGTAGATGGTTCTATATAGGGACGGATCTGCAGTCCAAAAGCACATATTCCTACAAAGCACCTGTGACAGCCTATAAGGACGATGGTGGTTGTCGCACTCCTTATATCTGGTGATTACTGTTCACCTGCGTTTAGACAAACTTGTTCAGGTATGGCAAACAAGAGATAAACAGTCAGCGCTTGTCCTCAGTTGGGTTCCACTGGTGATGTGCGGTTATTTGGACTACTAAAAAAGTCTCATGCAAATAGATCTCTAACGCAAAAAACTTTTGAGAAATCAAGTAAAAATGATTCTTATCGGCTGCAACATATATTACTCATAAACTGAAAAGATCTCAACAGGTATTTCTCAGGCGAAAAGTTTCCGAGGGACTAGGTGTCCTGGAACTAGAAGGGTGGCCGATTTGTCCACGGAAATCACAACGATCAGGTTCAATCAATAAAAAGACGTCCCTTATTAACGTCCAAGATAACCATTTCAGAAGGAGAAATCCTTCGTATCAAAATGATGCATTCGAGCGCACAAATATTGCGGCAGTCCAACACAAAGTGACGAATTTTCATACACTAATATGTATGACTGAGCTACCCTTCTAATATGTGAGTAACTTCATATGATGAGCTTGAGTTTGAGGCTTAAGCTCGATTCGTGATTCAAATACTACTTAGATTTTTTATGCTCCATACCTATATTTTGGCAGCTTCAAAATGTACAACTAGTCTTCAATCATGCAACCTGTTTTTACGGCTCTGAAAAGTGGCGTTAGCTTTGTAATGTAGCTTTAGTTACGTTTTAAATTTTAGCTTGGAGATGGCTGAAAATATTGCAGTGCTTAAACAAATCACGATTAATGAAATCTACCTCCTCGCCTTGCACCAATCCAAACAGCTTCCATGAAACCAGCCTGCTGCATTATCCGCGCCACAGTCATAGATTCCTCCTTGGATCTAACCTGAAGTAGTCTGACCTTGGCAGTGGAAACACCCTCAAGAAATTTCGAACACTGCTCTTTGGCTTTATCCCACGTTAACTTTTTCGAGTCCATCATTTCTTTGTAACACTTCCCAGTAAACGATGAGTAAGTCCACGAGTCATCATAACACGGTACATCCATGAGCACTCCATGGGCTGTGAATACATGAAAAAAACGGGGATTTTATGGGGGAAGTACTTTGGTACATTTGAGTTGGGGTGAGTAACATTGTTGAATCGCAATGTACATTTGCATACCAGCGGTGGTGTTCTGATGCAAACGCTGCGAGTTCATAGCATGCTTTAAGTGCATTCAGAGGGAAAACATTGCTTTCCACACAATATGTCCACCATAGAAAAAACCATCTGGCCGATATCCAAGGTTATTCACAATGTGGCGAAACCCAAAATGAAGTGTATGTGATGAAACCCATATAAACAAAGTCAATTATGGTAGCCACTTCACTCTGGTGAACTTTCGATTGATTCTGTCACATTTTAGGCGTGACACGTACCCAGAAGAGCAATAGTCAGGATGCATTTGCCAAAACTCGACTGCTTTACCCCTGAGGCTAAATAAAAGCTCTCTGCTTGAGCAGCCAGTCAACAAGTGACCACGTGATGTGGATTCCGTGAGTGAAGGATGAGTGGCGTATATCCAATCTAAGTGACAGTTAATCACACTGCTAATGTGCTGATCGTGGCCGGCTGGGAGGCCACGAATTCGAAACTTCTTGCCACTTCATGGAGTGAGCACTGCTGATAAGTACAATAAGGACGAAAGAGCTGTACAGTACTTCTAGGTTTTTCAGTATAGACAGCAAAAGTGCATGCCAGAAATACCTCTCGAACAGATGCTTTCGGTATATGAATCTCCGTACCCCATGGGCATGCCCACTCGCTGACAACAGCAAAGCAGTGAGCCTTAGTTCGAGTGTGTATAATATCAAAAAAATTCCAGTTTGTGGATTTAGTACAGAACATCAGTACCATAAACAACATAATGTCGTCATTTGACGCTGAACCCCTTTTGCAAATGTTCCGGGGATGACGTGAAAGAAATTAATTTTGATTTTGTCCCTCAGAATGGTTCACACTGAGAACTTCCTTAGACGATCTGTATAAACTTTTACGCCTGCGCACTGTGTGAAATTTTTGTTCAACAACAGATCAAATGAACGACGTTAAGATGTGTAGTCTGTTTGTACCGGTGCTCACAGACACTTATGGAGAATGAATTCCAGGAAACTGGTGGTATACAGACGTTGTGTGAAGTGTGCTGTAGTGTAATTTGCACCTGCACTGACAGCAGACAAATGGAAGAGGTTTATTATATGCACAACATTGCTCCTCACTTGAAATTTACGGTGGAAGTCAAACAAAACGATAGTAAAGATAGCTTTTCTTGGTATACTACTGATAAGGCAAAACGATGAATCGATTTTTCGTGGCATTTTCAGGAAAACCATCTGAACAAGGCAGTATTTCGACTTTGAAAGTAATGACCTACTCAAAAGAAGACGGATTCTGGTTAAGACCTTTCCCCAGAAGCCATGCCGTTTTGCCAAATCTGACGACATTACACGTGAAGTACAATTGCTCAAAGACACCTTGCCAAGAGCAGCCATTTCTTGAGGTTCATATAGAAATACGGTTGCCCTTAACCCAGACGTCACGCGATTCGAACTATTTCCTAGAAGCCAGTCTGTTTGCCATTACCGTATGAGGGAGACGACTGACCGACCCTGATCAGGCATCGTTTAAGAGCAACGATCAAATGTACCAAAAAGCTGCACGCTCCTAAAAAAACAATCCAACTTTCACTTCCAAAAAAGGACCGAATCCAAAGCCATGATTCAGCTGAATTGGCTGCGGAGCTAGAAAAATCGGCAGAACCACGACGTACTTTGGGATACGACTAGGGGGGCAGGTACCGAAGTCCAGGGAAGAGTTGCAGCCACCATACAGTGTAGCTACCCCTTTCACCACATACATGACTGTACAGGTCAGCGACACTCGCTAGATCACGAGATCCGTCTTTTTTTACACTCACAAATCACGCCACAGAATCGTGACCAACTCAGCTACACAGCTCACAGTCAAGCCCTCGACCTCAAGACTTCTTCCCCACCACGTACAAATCCCGACACAAAGGTGACTCATCTGACATCGGCCGTCGTCCGTCCGATAAGGTAGCAACATGTCATGTGCTGATACCCACACACACGCAGACGTTCCTACGTATAGGATAACAGCACAGCAACACAACACAACTCAACAGAGCTTCGCACGTCGCCCAACTCGGAGCAGAGCCGCTCAGGTCTTACGCCGTTTCACTGACGCATATTCAGGAATACGTGTGGCTGGTACAGCAGCGAAGAAGACACGAGACTGCGTCCGGACTTACAACAGGATTTATCAACCGGTACCTGCAAAACGATAAGTCCCTTGTTCGCCTATATATCTGTTGTAATAATTTTACTCAACAAGCAGACATTGTTAGTGCTCCCCGTTTTCTCGTTCACACAACTAGTTTTCGGGTTCTAGTAGAGCATTAACAACAGCACTCAGATAGCGGTAACAGTGTAGGCCCAACAATGGCTTTTGAAATATTTTTAGTGTCCAATCACAAATAACAACATTGCTTAGGCAGTTCCAAACACAGTTTTAATCCCCTTTTATGCGTATAAAGGCAACTGCTAACGAACTTATCTTTAACATGGTAGTCCATTTTCTGCATATGCATTTTTTACCACTTTATATCATATTACTATGTAAACCCAATCAGACAACATTCACTCATAGTAATCACCATGAGATTACCACGCTTTTTCTCCGGTCCCTCATGAGTGACCGATTACATTGGTCTAGCTGACAACATGTGCTCTAAACTTCGCTAAACTGACTAACCAGTCACACCGATCCTCGCATGCGGCATCTTTGTTTTGCTTAATAACCTACTTGTAGTTGTCTAGATGTGATTGAAATATCTGCGCACAAGGCATCTCGCACTCGAAAATGGCAACCAGGCGGATGGTCCCCGTTTGGGAGAAATTCCTTCCCGGGATGATGATAGGGCCAGAAGCCTCACAATACGAAGCAAGTGCTGTGAGTCTTGGAACCAGTCTGAGTCTGTTGTTCTTTGTCATTCACTGTAATCTTTACATACATTGTTTGACTGAATTCTCCTTGTTTCTCCGCCAGGTAATGAACCGAATCCATCCCATAATATTGAGCCTACTTTCCTCGGCGTGTTAAGAATTTCACAAACCCTATAGTGAAACATCCCGCATTGGGTGGGTTTTCACCTCATGACTGTGTAGGTTGATGAACTGTACAGTCGGGTCCTAACCTAGGCAAAACCTGCTCGGATTGTGATACTTCGTTATTTTCAGACTTCCGGTGTTACCGAAAGACAGCATCTAGCTGATAGCCGTTCTAAAACTGGAACGGTTAATTTGTTACACAATGATCAAGTAAGATTAGCATGCGATCCACGTTTTTGAACTGACTCATTTGCAAGTTATCATGCCATTTTGAGCAGTTTTCTGGAGCAGGACGGCTAACTCTATGTTTACTGATGGGTTTTAGTAAGGCGAATAATTATGAAGCTAACTTGCATGACGTTATCTACCCTCTGTAAATGGCGCTTCAATATCCCTTCAGTAATCGATTTTGTCCTCTGGTTTTAGGCCTCACTGCAAGTGAGCTTTCATCGCAATCCTTCGTACGAGATCAACTTTGACGGGATCGCGTCTAAAACGTTTTCTAGATACTTAATCGCCGGCAGCGGACAAGAGTTGTCATCAACCTTATGACTGCTGCCAACTCAAGAACATTGATACGATACTTTAAACAGCATTGCAAGCTCGACAGATGGCGCTTTTGGTGCAACAGATTTAACTGGCTGATCACAAATGAGAGATACGGTTTAGATCCATGAGAGTCCCCCATCAAAGCCTAATCGAGTTGTAAATTGGCGCTTCTCCGCTGATCGTAGTGTTCAAGTGCGAAATTCCGCTGATGGAAATCCGGGACCGAAGTCCACCTAGCCCAAAAACGGAATAAACCGGTGATGGGCTGTCCAGAGTCTCCATCGACCTTGTAGGTGGCACCATCCAGGGGTGATCATAAAAATGTGTTGATAAGTGCATGAACGAGAACGTTCTAAGGTTCATGGATGTCCCTATCAGTCTTTATTCTAAAGTTTGCCACTAATTGCTGAAGGCGAACTTTTGAACGAGTACTACCGTTGATGGGGCGATTCCACATAACTCTCTTCGGTCAAATAAATACAGACAACCACTGTGCAAAATCACCACAAATCCCGCTGATAAATGTATTAGTTACATCTACTCAAATCCACCGAATAACCTTAGCTTTAGTGACAGTGGAATTCTTCGACTGAAAACGTCGAGCGCATGTCAAACATAACTTGAATGCAAATGACGAGGTTATTAAAATTTCCACGTAGAATTGCTAAAACTGTATATCAGACCGCACGGCGGCTCGGTTAGGAAACGAAGGAATGAGCACGCCTAACGTTTTTCATACTGCTGCAATGAGAAAAATGAGAAGTACACTAGGCGCCAGCAACTGTATAGTTTTGCGACCGACTTCCAACCGAAAACATTTCAAACCGGTGGACTGATGAATGTGTGCTCCAAACGGGTAGAAATTCACCGAACTTCGGAGATAAAGCGTTAGTCTGGATTCCAGCGAGGTGCCCCGCTTTGATGTATCGTACTCTGGGACTCAACAAGCTCACTGTTAACTATTCGTCCTGAGAAACTATCCCATGAAGCTGTACTCCATCGTGATAGAAAATTGAGCTCAAAACATTATTTATGGCACAAACGACATAGTCACCTACACAATGTGGCTTTCAGTACGCAATAACATGTATAGGCAGGCATATAGTTCAGTATTGTCAAGTCTAAGGTTTTAGGGATCCAGTTAACCCGCTATCTTGGATCAGGCCTTTGGCTTTCAAGCCATCATCCGAATTCGTGGAATCGCGTCAAGAGTGACTGGTTTCCTCTCGGACCGTGTGAAATTTCATCGATTAAACTGAGAAACAGTGATTCAGTTGAAGAAATGCGAGGGGAAAGGTACAGAATTTCCGCACTTACCAAGTGGTAATAAGATTGACAAAACCAACAGCGCAATCGAAGGGACCATTCTTACTAGACAAATGCCGTGAACTGAACGATATTGATAAAACTGGCCACAAAATAACAATTACCTATTGTTCCCTTGCTTGGCTATTCATCACCATGCCAACTGCCAGTTTTGGGTTCAGCGAGTCCGACGCGATAACATGAAATTCTTCGGTTTAATGCCCACCAACCTGAGAGACAATACGAACATGTCTGCCCCACCAGCAAATATCTGTATGTGGTATTCAAATTTAGGACTGCAGCGATGTGCCACTGTTCCACAGGCAACCATCCGGAACACATCAGTCTTTTTTGTTATTGCGCTCATGCTATTCCTCCATCTCGCAAGTAGTAGGTGAAGCTGGGTGGATTAATGTATTGGTTTGCATTGCAGGAACTTCGTTTTCTTAGACAGTTTGCGCTGTTCCCTCCGAAAAGTGCTGTTTACTACACGTGAAAGTTATAAATATATATAGTTGGACAACGTAGTAACCCTGATTTGCTTTGATGGCGAATCAGTTAAATTTGAATGCAATGCAGATTCGATGGGCTGTTCTGGCCTGTAAGGTCGCCAGAACTGGACGTAAGTGGTCCCTCGGGGACCGTTTGTTTGAATCGGCAAAGGCTAGGAGAACTTCCTATTCATATATGTGCCATGCGTTGCTTGTGCCTAGACGACCTGGATCGGGAGCACATCCACACAAAAGTGCTTGCCAATGGACGTTGGCCGAACTACATGGAGATGGCTAATTTCATTCAAATTACCTGTAAAGTGTGGCTGGGCTGAGTGATAAGCTGATACTATGATCCCCAACTTTCTTCGTGAAGCGGCCACGATTTGTGGTGCTCAGGTGGTCGGTAACCCTCCCGTCTCGATATTGAAGAGCAGGCGACACACAAGCTAGTCGGCTAATTCGCTTTTTTATGGAACTCATTATTCTTTCAGGTTTCGATCCATTTGATTGCAAGCATAGACTTGAGATTTTAATTTTCCACTTCACAAAATCATGAGTATCCATTTGCATTGCACTCCTTCATGTAATTTTCAGGTAAAAGACAGATTGACAAGCATGTTTCCGGTAAAGTATTTTCAAGTCATCTATTTGCAAAGGTTAAGATAAAAGTACTTAAGATGTCTGAGTGAGCATGGTGCATATGCAGAGGAAATCGAGTGGGAGACGACATTGGCTACCTATCAAAGAATAACTAGTTCAGGACACCGATAGGAGGACTTGAGCTCGCCAGTGCGGGCAGTGCTGTGGTTGTGCTCAGCACAGGGTGTGCGTGGGGGGGAGTAAGTTGGACCATGACAAGTATAACACACGAACAAACTGTTTTTGCCGACAAAGCATCGATGTCGTATGGCGATAGCTTCAGACAATGCCTCAAAATAAACTTGTCGGGGGAACCGCTGTCTCTCAGGTCGTTGTTGAGAGTTAGGATTGCTTGTTCCAGCACGTCATCGAAGCATATTTCCTTCACTGTGTTAGTTAGGCCATGGATCAGATTCCGTTTCTGCTTTAGAGGCACGAGGCTGCTAAAGTTAATGCAATGCCCGGACCAAGCAGGTTTTCGGTACATCAGTCATTTCAGCGTATCGTCGTGACGTAAAGGCCAAAATCTGAAGGCGAGGCACGTCACTGAACGATAGCCGCACATTTAATGTATATCACAGATGAGTTCTCGCAATCTGTTGACTGGAATTAGCAACTGAACGTTGTTTACTTATATGTAGTTACATAGGTAGTTAACCACCTCAGGTAACGGGACGTTAGTAAACAGTGAAGTCACGTCCAATGAACACATGAAAGAGCCCTTCAGTTTTAGGTCCTTTATTGAGTCCAGGAATTGAAATGTATCGCTTAAACTGTACTGATACTGCATTCAACACGGTTCGTTTCTTAGCTGGTTCTATTTCTGAAACTTTACTGAGCACTGAGTAAGCCCCGTACGTTCGCCGTTCGTTAGGTAGTCAACATACGTCTGTCCTTGGCTCATCAGTCTCCATAGCTCAGCGCTTTTCTGTGGTAGTGTCCATATGACTGCGGGTATGTCTTTACCTCTATTGAAGATGACGCTTCAGGCGTTCCGACGCTTGACCTAGTTGGACAGATATTCACAAATTTAGGTCCAACTAGAACATAAGGTTGATGGAAACTCGGTGACTACGTCTACCTGGTGAGTCCCAAGAAGGGTGAAACGGATCATGGTCTGTCGAAGAGTTTTGAGCAACCTTGTGAGTAGTTTCCTTCATGACAAAAGAAGACAAACCTAATCGGGCCAAATCACACTGTATATAACAACCTACACGTAACTGCGGATCAGGTTACTTTAGCAGGACCGATAGGTGTCTCATCACTGAAATGAGGGAGCACGTGCCGGTTCGGGTGCGAAGTTATCTTCAGAACTTGAGGGCGGAAAACACTAAAGTCCTCTGTAACCAGATATGTGCATGCTATAGGCCATCAGCTTGGTTTCACCTTAGCGTTTACTGTCTTTCTCCACCACCGAATAGCACGTGTTCTGAGATTCTCCGACGTTGTTGTAATAAATCGACCAAAGCCTTCATCATGTGCCCAAAAGCAACTTGATGCGGACTTAAGGCTGCAGTGGACATCGTACTGCGAGTTACATTTCTGTCTGGTCCGTAATCTTATGATGGCATTGTGTCCCGTTTAAGTGAGAGCTGATCCCACTGATGATCAGCCGCTCGTGGCCAAACGATTGTGTTAAACCACTGGTCGAAATGTCGCGCATTCAAAACTCCCCGAATTTTGTGAGATACGCACCGATGTTTCCCAACAGGGAAGGAATAGCTGTACAGTAGTCCTCGGCTTTTCCACACAGACTGGCTGGACAAAATCACTATTGAAAATTACTATATCTTATCACTATCAAACAATTTTGATGGCCTGTTGTCAGTTGTGGTACGCTCAATCGCGCGTGCACCTTCCAGTCCGGGACAATCTCATCACCTTCAAATAACTATGCGGTACACCACATACCAACGAATCACCGTGGGCATACTGGGATTTGGAGGCTACAATTCCACCAACCTGTCACAAAAATGCCCTGATGATCTGATTCGTACTTGTCACGTACTCACTCCTAACCTTTGGTGAAAAGTTGATAACGCTTGTGCATAACATCACATCAGATATTAGATTCACCGAAAAACTGTCGAGAAACGGTAACCCCCTGATAGTGTACGCTGCCTCCTGAATAGTTAGTGGATTATCACTGATAACTTATTCACAGGTATTAAGCTGGTTGCGCCATTAATAATAGGACACAAACTGAGGACCTATGTTCCATGTGCCATCCCTCAAGGGAAACAATAACTGGTCGAAAAATAAGAAATGGGAGATTGTGAGTAAGATCAGCGGTGGTAGTTTATGCTACGTTTATCCACTCTACGTTGCACACACCCCATTGCACTTTCACCTAAACTCCACTGGGCCCTCATACTGTGACCCAACTGTATATCATCACTAGTTTTTCTTGGAGCTGCACCATCCGGAGAAACATAATCCCCGTAAGGTAAACTTCAGGGCAAAAGAAATTTGTTCACTTCTCACCCACTATCAGGATTCATCGTTTCACGTGACGCCAGAGCTTCCTTCTAGAACGAACAATTTTTTAAAAAAGTCAGGAAAACTGTACAAAATGGGATTTGTGGCTTAACTACCTTGAGGTATAAATGAGATCCTGTGCCCCTAGACAGTAACAGCACTGTAATAACTCTGTGGTCTTGGAGGTTAAGTTAGCTTGAACGGCTCCTTCATGAAAAGATCCTAGAGAAAAAAGGATTCGGTGAATAGAAAAATAAGTTTATATACAATTATTCATCCCGTACACAGGGATCTCGCCAGAAGAATGCAGTCACAGAAGTTGAGAACCACGGTTCAGTTAGATCTGGAAGGACAAAAACAGAGGACTAATTAGTTTAGGGATATAAAAGCAACCGAGAAGCTTACTTACAACCTATGCATCCGTCAGTATAATGCAAATACAACTCCAATGATGCAAAAAACAGCGAAAGTAAATGGGCGCTTGGTACGATAGATACTGTATGCCTGTATCATATGGTCAAATGTTCAAATGGGACGTCAAATACAGCAGAAAAACTGTTGCGAGTTTCCTGCGACCTGTTATAAGAAGTTCTTCGCCCTTATCGGAAATGAGGACGTGTTCAGGACCTTTTGTATAAAGGGTTTCATTGCTGGCCCCAGGGGATTCAATATCCGGTACACATCAACAATCAGCATCCACTTACTTCGGCCCAAAATGGATAGAGATTAGTGTTGTCCTCGAGGAGGTCAGCTAAAATTTAGACGGATACTGCAAATGAACTACGGGCTACATCATTGGGAGAGGCCTTTCAATGACCAGTGTTTGGGCAGCCTCACACAAGAGATTGCCGAAACAGCGCGAGGTTAACTTCGCTTCCTCGGCGACTGATAAGATAATCTTTTTTGTCCGTCAGGCAACCCAGAGACAGAGATTCCAACAAGTTGCGCAAGCACAGGCGTGGATAATCGTGATTCAAGGGGTGGATAAGTACCACGGATTTTATGGGATGGAAGTGCTCACCTTAAACTGGGCCATAGAGGTTCAGTGTGAAGGAAGTGCATTGGAAAGTGACGAGACAAGCAACCTGAGGTTGCACAAAAACTAAACCCCAAACTCACTCAATCGTCTTCGTCATCACTTAAGCGTTGCATTCGACGTTTGGAGCTAGAATCGTTGAGCGGCAGTTCAGAACCACCGTGAACTGAAAACGGTCGTTTTGTATGACAGCTACCTGCAGTTTTACCTTCTGAAATAATACCGAACTCCACAAATTCATCTGCCGCTGCTGAAACACGAGTTTCTCCTAGTATCGACGAATTTGGAATTTGTTTTGGAGCGCTGTCAAACTGTCTCGGATACATTCGTGAGGTACTGTCCAGATCGAGCTCTGAATAGATGTCCTCCAATCCATCCGATATTTCATCCTCATCCGAATCCAACGTTTGTCCTGGTTCTCGAGTAACAGTGAGGTCATCTTCGCCTTCGACTCTGGCTTCAATTGATGCGGTCAAGTTTAGCAACGAACGGCCTTCCTTGACCCTCACAAGCAATACGCCCTCTGGAAGAGGTAGACAGGTAGGCCGCCTATTTCCATACAACATATGATACAAATCCGCCACAGCACAGCGTAGTCGTGAGTCTCCACCGCAACCATAGTTCATCAAATTCCAAAGCCTACAAACCAGCTGTGGCGTGTCTAAACGACTGCCAGTCTCGCCTCTCTGAAAGGGGGGCATACGCAAGAACATTTGGACGGCTTCGAACCGAAGTCGAGCGTGTGAACTATCCGTCCCATCGTCTCGCTCGATAACTTCATTGAATATCCAATCAAGCGCCGGTTGATCACGCTCACCGCGGACATAATCCACAAGACACTCAAGACCAGCGAGTCGTACGTCATAGTAAAAACCAGGAGAGGCATACAGATAGAAGAGGCTAGGATCTACGGGCAGGAAACCGAGACGCTGTAGTCGGCGTATAGTAGCCAAACAAACAACAGTTATGGTGCCCTTGTAACTGGGAGTCAGCGTGTCCAAATTCAGATGATGAACGACTTCCTCGATTACCGTTCTAGCTTCAATAGGCAGTGAGGAGGATGACATTACACCACGAACTACAATGGCCGGAGTAAGAATGTCCTTCATCGTTCTTATTAGATCTGCAAGGTAACAATAATCCGAATATTCGTTACGTGTGTTATCATTGTGACGAAGCAGTTCGCTAATGAAAGGGAGTACTTCTCGAGGGCAAACTTGTTGGACGCGTAGTGTCGCTAATGATCGACATATGGCTCGCATGAGAAAATAGTGCTGAAGATGCTTGAAATTGTTTTGTCGGACTAGGCCTCGAGCAGCTGGGGAGCTGAACAATTGCCAAAATAGTGGGAGTAACACCGACGTTGCTGCGTTCGCTGATGTACCCTGGGCGCCGCCCATTGCGCTCAACTCATTCGCAATGTGACAGAGGGAAAAGCAGGCATCGGTACGGACACGATAAAAAACTCGTTCATTAGCAATCACGTTGGCGAGGGCATGCCGTGTCTCTGGGGATGGAAAGTCACGAAGGGCATGGGTAGCTTCCAACTGCCCAAGACAATCTCGATCATGCAGTAGCATCAGGTGCCACATGAAATCTGGTTGCTCTACATAAATTGTGTGAATAACAGCCAAATCAGGGTCCATGCGAACCCAAAGGAGTGGTGACTCTGCATCAATGCGTCCTAAATCCATGTCTACTTCATCACCATTGGCCAAAGGGATACGCTTCTTTCGATGTTTACGACTTTTGGAATGACAGGGCAAGTCACGAGCCATGCGGCCTTCTTCTAACTTGAATGTATGCATAAATGCTCCATCCAGTTCTTGAAGCATGACAGTCAGTGGGCCTGTGTAGCTCAGGGTTCCTCGAGACTGAAGATCCTATGGAGAGAAGAAACACCACACACTAATGCCTGTTTATAACTGAGTGTAAATTTCAGCATTAAAGACAGTTGCTACCAGAGTAATATAGCCTCCCTCAGCTCTTCTTAACAAGTTACCCAACGAAGCCCGAGCTACAGACTATAAAGCCTTAATATAAAAGTCATTCTAGTTTCAGCAGGGATCGGATTATCACGGTAGTCCTCACAAAGAAACTCTTCTGAAAAAATAGCCTTGTCTAGAGGACATAGGATTTAAACTCAGTGCAGTGGGTGACTCTGGGAGCCACAATATAACTCTACAGAATGGCTAAAAACTCCAGATGAATCTGATTAGGATCGCAATAGGTTTCCAGACCCAAAATTGTATAAAAAAAAGCTCGATGGAGAACTTAGGTTTATGTTTGTTATTATGAATCGCAGATGGTGCTGTTATCCATCATATGAGACACTCACCTACCCTCAGAAAGTGACAAAGCCCCGTGCCGGTTAATCTCTACACTTTAGAAAAGGTTTCTCAGAAGTGAATGATGAACGGCAGTTATTATGCCCACGTTCAACTTGATCGAAAACTATAAATCTGCACCACACTGGTAGCTGAACACAAAAATTGAACCCAAATTTCTCGAGTTGTTCGTCAAGCAGATGCACAAAATTGTGAATGCTAACGTGTGTAACACCCGAAGCCGAATTCTTAGCAACTGAGAAATTATCACAGTAGAAAGTTTTATGGCATACTAGAGGCATAATTAACGACTCTTACCTGTTTCAGTTCTAGTTCAACCACATTTCGTTTGCGGTTGAAATGAAACTTGACGAACAGCCGAACGTGACCCGTCCGGAAAACCCACTGATCAAGAAAGTTCTGTATATCTTGACCAGTAACCATTAGGATAATCCGGCGAAACGAGGATGTAGATAGTAAAAGATTAGCCTGATTTTCGTCGGATAAGCACGGTGGTACGTTGGAACAGTCGGGTGCAGTCAGTGTGTAGTCAGGTTGTTCATCGTGAGCGATGCTCTCGTCTTTGTGGTTGCCTGATGATGCGATTGAACCGTTGGGGAGGACTGAGGAAGCCGAGAGTCGAGCAAGAACGAGAAGCTTATTGAGAACTTGCAGTAGTACTGGTTGACCGAATCGAAGTTCCAGCATTCGAATAACCAGGTGGGATTTTTTTATGAACGCTGTCAAATAATTCGGAGAAATAGTCTGCGCAAGGGAGATGGGAAAGAGACGACTCAGTTGGTCAAATGATTGAAAAGCATATCAGCTAACGATTAACTTCAAAAAGAATGAAAAACACTGATGGTTCAGTCGGCAAATACACATTGTGGATGGTCTTGTGAACGCAATCAAATTACGGTTTGTCGGGGTTGGAGTGAAATGGGGTAACTGCCTCCGATTGGGTGGTATCATGACGCAGAGGTTTCGTTGGCAAGCTGAGTGCTCACCTGGCACTACGGTATGTAACTTCCTCGAGAGACATGTAAGGTCAGTAACGTTTCTCTACATTTTTCCAAAATCTCACACGTCTTCCGGGGCAGTTCATTGCACGCAACGCCTGTTTGACCTGTTTCCACCAGGGCATCTTAAGGGTGGTCTGAGTCAGAATAAGGTGGCTAATTGAAGGATCAGAAAGAGAGTAACAGCCTAGAGACATAGCCGAGGGAATATGCGGATGAAACCAGTTCATGGATTCAACATCTATATGCAGAGAGTATAGTTGTTCGCACATCTTCGAATAAACATTCGAGTAGTCTAAGTAAATATCTGCACCGGTGAACTCCATGAAAGCGTTGCACTGTGGGGATTGCTGAAGCAGCAGTGATGGCGTCAGCAGGAGCGCCACGTTGCGGAAAAAGTGGCAATCTTCGTTAAATGTTACCAAGTGATACTTCATCTGAGGACTTGTCTAGTACACCAAACACTATGCTGACAGACCTTCATGAATTCTAGACTGATTTTGTCACAAAATCTTGTACAGGTGACTAAGAAAGGGTACTCCACAAAATAGGAGTTGCTTGTACCAATACAGCGACTATATGAACAGCTCAGCTTCACTCAGCTGCATCAAAATGGTATGAATTCTTTGCCCATTAGCCCAGTCGATACATTCTGAACGGTTGTGCAAAGCCTAAAAGTACAAATTGTGAGAGAAACCAGGCCCAAAGGTTGGGCTTTCGGTCGAATCGACTGATAACAATCTAGATAGGTTGTTGCGGTCGGAAATTTACCATTCATGCTACAGGTGAGCATTGACGTTGCCAGCCACAATGGCAACTATCAACAGGTATACTGTCAAGCAAGGATCCTTCCCACCCGATGATTTGCGACGATACCAACCCCCGCACAGTCCTTTGTACCGCCAGAGATGCACAGTCAGAAGTGAGTGGAGTGATGGCGCAATTAGCTCAAACACTGTTTCGGATACACAGCACACACCAATGTCAACCAATTCCAATGTGAGAGCAAGAGCGGCTTGTTGTTTCGATTGCCTCAAAGTGCGAACATTAAAAGCACACAGGTAGACTGGGCGTCGAGTCTTGAAGATGGGTTACCAGATTCCTGAGGCTGTCAGCGCCGACTGAAGCGCAGATGCTGCGGCCAAAACCACTGCAAGGCAAATGGGGCCCCCAGTCCTAACGGAGGAGCTTACAAGGAGAGAGCTGGTACTGGGGTGGGGGGATGGAGGAAAAAGCATGTGAAAGGAAAAGAAGAAATGCGTCCCCCCTCTGTTGTATGCAGCAAGTAAGACGAACTGGCTGATAACATCACGTGAAAGCCGATGTAGCGTGAGAGTATCTTTGGTCTTAGGTATCACAGTTGTAAGCGAGCTGGGATACTGCCAGGGTGCCCAGACACATGGACGGGAAAATGATCTAAGCCCACAACAAAAGCCTGACCGCAAGGCGGGAAATGCAGGCGCATTCCCATTTTCAACAAGTCGCCGCCAGGGTGCCCAGACACATGGACGGGAAAATGATCTAAGCCCACAACAAAAGCCTGACCGCAAGGCGGGAAATGCAGGCGCATTCCCATTTTCAAAGAACAAGTCGCCACGCTAATTCCGACCCTAACCTGGAGGGCGGGGAGATTGTGTTGATCAGATCTCCAACCATTGACCAATCTGGTATGAGAGACTGCGAGTGTCGCAGGTCACTTCCAGGATAGCTCAATGGGTCGAGGTGGCACACAAACCGCCATACCATGGTAGAGTTCGTCCTCTTCATGTAGAAAGGGTTTTAGATTACTTCGACGTACTCGGGAAAGCCCACTTGAGTGACGCGCAAAATCAAAAGCCAGAAATTGTGGATTCTTGATATGTCAGTGAAATGCGGTACTGCATGTATAAAATACGTGGAGTGCATAATGCTACAATTCGATGTACTTTTTATGGGTCAGGGGCATGGTCTCGGCGCAGCAGCTGTAACTGCTGTTACATGGTTTATAGCTGACCGACGGGAGCTCGAGACAGCTCACAATCTCGGACCTCGTGTTTCGTTCGGATTGCATGACAACTAGGTACTGAATAATATAATAATAATAATAATAATAATAGTATTATATTCGTTTAGACATCATGCAAGCCAGATTCACACACAACGGTATGAACTGATGATAAATTCAATGAGAATGCAGTCTTTCGACGTGCGCGCTAGCCATCGCCACAGGGATATGTCGGTTTTCATTAAAATATTTGCCTACTGACCACGGAAAACAAGTAGGTAGTTAAGACTGGGGAAATGGAGTAATAAAGTTAGGGCGACCACCCGGAAGATGAGGGACATCCCCATGTCAACAACCACCAAAATTATGAGAACAGTACCGTCTGTCTACTAACTCCACAGTTAACCGGTGGTAACGAATAAATCACGTAGAGGAGGGAGCAGAACTCACATGAGGTGATTTCAAACCAAAGTGTGCGGTCCTGTTAGTGATTTTGGAAGGATCCAGCAGAATTCCGTATTTCGTGTGCTCGTAGTTGGTCACATGCAACATGTCTTTGCAGATAATCCGTCGGTACTCATTATTTCCAAACACACGCTTCTGATAGAGGCCTGATAAGTAACCAGCTATTCCCATTGGCAGCCAGGCATCACACCACGTATGTCCAGTGATGAAACAGCCAAAAAACTGCGAAGAAATGGCTAGAGATAGTATCTTACGGGTTTCGATGGCCTGATCAATAATGCGGGAAGAATGAAGTAGATCTACCGGGAAAATCAACAGCGAGGCAAAGGCCTGAAAGTCGCTGTACGCTCGATCCACAAATACAGTATTGATGGTCGAAAATGGATATTGTGAGGCGAGAAGGGCCTCGAAGTGCTCTATAATGTCAGGCAAATGAGACACCGTATGCTTCAGCAAATTCAGCAATCCACCAGGACAAAAGTGAGTAGCATTGTTCGAAAGCACCGGATCGGGGTACACTTCGAAAGCTCCAACAGCGAGACCAATGTAGGGAGCAGCAACTGGTTGAGCAACATAAAAGTGGTATGTTTTGTGAGTTAAATCTTCCGTATAATACGGCGCATCTAACAATTCACCAGGGGCAACAGCAACCATATCTTCAAAGACGGTGATTTCAATCTTCCAAGTACAGGGCTCTGCGCAATCAATGCAAGGAAACCATAATCGTGAGGAGTTTGGCATTGAAGCTGTGAAAGCATGTACCCCCCGGTCAACCAGACTTCCTTCTCCTGGAGGAACTACAAAATAGAAACCCGATTTGGGTTTATTCAGTGAAAACTCCAAAGTAATTCTGAAAGGCCTTCCAAAGCTGATAAGAGGCCAAAAGTCTGGCGGAATTCGAATCGTCACTTCACCGGCATGTATATCTGGATCGGTTTTTTCGGCCACGAGGGTATGGTCACGCTGGAAGCAATCCAAGGTCCGCAATTTTGTATCCCGACTGCAAATTTCTAGACTTGGGTCGTGATAGATGACTGGTAGATCAGTAGGGACAGGAAATCGGTGAGTTTTCGCAGAAGTCCATTTAACAGAAGAGCCAGAGACCGCTTGCTCATATGCTTCAGCGTTTGGGTCAGCAGGCTCCAGTAAAACGCGATGTATGCGACACTGACGACAGTTTAGGTGCACTCTGCGCAGATCCGATGTGGTCGGCCAAAGGATTAATTGTGTGAACCCAACAAGAAGCCGTTGTTCGAAGTCAATTTGTGTTATGCATAGATTTTGATGTGACAGGCGAAATCCTCTGGTGATCGCAGGCTGAGTAGATTCAATAGACGGACCTACGGGGGTTGTCCACGGATCATCTGAGATAAACATGGGGTACAAGAAATGAATACTCATGAAAAGACAACTAATAACACGCTAAAAACGAGCCATCAGTGAACAGAACCAGAATGGACTGCTGTTTAAGAGCACAACCAACTTGAATGCTCAATTGTCGTTAGATATTCGTTTTCTGCGAACACGTTCTCAAAACATCAGACCTTTCTAAAACGACCAAATATACAGTTTAGCAAATTTGTCGTTAGCTTCGGAGCTCCCAAAGCAATGGGAGTCGGAAGCCAATACAGAGTAAATCGAAGTACCAAATTATCAAGGCATGGATTCAGTACGTATATGAGGATAGTGGCTTCTACCTGGAAATATTGCATTCTCGACAGAGCGGCACCTGCATGTACATCATTATCCGAAAATTAAGCGACTTGCATGAGAAGCGGTTTTTTATTACGCTGGATATCACTATCAGCTGAAACTCAATACTTACGGTGGCGTCCAGCAAAGGTAAACGTTTGAATAAACGTGAATCCGGTTCTGGAAGGTCAAACAGTGGTGCGCCACCCGAATGATACTCTGTACTTTCCAAGCCAGACCACCTGTTTTCTCATCCATTTCACGTCCGTCTTTGGGAATTAATCAATACAAGTCACTACTTATCAGTCTTTCACACCCTGGCAAACTTTAAACCTGTCCATCCTAAATCACGATCGATTAATGTGCGAAGGATACTAATGATGAAAACGCCGGCCTCGGATACGGGTATTGTGATCTGTCCACCTTTATGCAAGAACGTGGGATGTCCTAAGAGTGAACTAAATCCGCTAGGAAAATGAGGTACCAGGCTATCGTTCAAATGAAATCTCTAGGGTATTGCGCGCATCACACTACAACCTACTACAATCTCGACCGCGAAAACACATGTAGGCGGTTCGCCTAGCAACGTCTCTGAAAGGGTCTCACAATCATGAAGCTCATCGCTGTATTTGGTCGTCTGACAAGGCCCCAACCGACTGTAGCTCTGACACCATCAAATACACGTCTTGTAATGCCCTGTTCTGGTGAGCTAAAAGTTCAAATATCGTCGCCGGAGATATGAATGCAAAACTGGGTAGGTTGAGCGTTGCTGAGACTCAATTAGGTGGTCAACATGTATTGAATTGGGTACGTAAGGTCAATGAGTGCTACAGCTATGTGCTGTCCTCCAACGGCGTGCCGGCTACGAACTCAAATTGACCACATTACCATCAGTTACTAATGGCGTGGATGAATAGCTGACTGCCGCTCGTTTTGGAACACATTCGTGGATTCCGACCACGCGCCCGTTCCGAGTCACTGCTTCTTTCGTGTTCCAGAGTCGCATAAGGAGCGGATCAATTGCTTAGCAACTGAGAGATGTTAGCCGAATTTACTAGAATCGCCTTCCGGAATCTTTTCTAACTGCTCCACCGTCAGGTGTGAATTCGTGTTGAAACGAGATCACCACATCCTTGCACGGTGCTGTGGATTTTGTATGTGGCACGGCGCTACCAGACACGCTCAAGTACCCGATATCAGACCAAACAGTGGAACTGCTCAAATCTCAGAGAAATATCTCCTCCGGTGTCAAACATGAAATGGCCCGACGAATTATCAGACGTCAAGTGAAAACGAGAGAGCGGGTTCATCGTGAAATCTGGTGGACACGGAAAGCTAAGGAGATGAAAGAGGTCCAGAAAGCCGGGAATGCTCAAAGACTATTTCAGTTAATTCTTGCGACTAGGTCCCGGAACCACATGTGAGCGAAATCATCAAGGATCAGTCTTCACTTGTGGCCTTCTACCCGTGGCTGATGGTCAGGTGATCCAGATGGGTCATAGCTGGTTTGCAGTTGGAAACTTTCCGTACATTTTTATTCTTCCTTCATAGTAAAGCTCTCAAATAAATTATGGTTGTACGGCAGCGAAGTGTCAGCGGTGGACACTGATGCCATTCTGTCAGTGATGATGATGATGAGTTGGTGGCCACCAATTTATGCTATACGGACGCTGATGTTACGTCCTGGCCAGAAACAGCTCATGATCAGTACACAACTGAAGGAGTGGCTCTCCGTTGCTTGTTTGACCGCCCAAATGTGATTCCAAAGAGCTCAGACGACCGACCTAGCCATTCATATCGCCCGCAATGATCACAATGTCTGGGCTTCTTGCTCGAACGCCCAGGAGATGGAGAAGACCTTCGCTGCAGGCAACAACCACGTCCTGTTTCAACTGGTCCGATGAACGGGTCAAAAGAAAACAGATGTCAGTGAGAAAATATTCGAAAAAGACGGAATAGCAATTCACTCCCTCAGTCGCCGTCTTGAGCGGTGAACTGAGCACTTCCAAGAACAGTTCACCTTCAACACAAACACTGGAAGAACCAAGCAGGCCCGAATGAAGCATTGACACCAACCCACCATCGGCCATTGAAATCCAGCGTGAGATTTCAATCCTGAAGCGCAACAAGGCACCTGACAGGGACGGTCTACACCTCGCACTCTTTAAAGAAAGTGGCTAGGTCCTAGTAAGCAGTCTGACAACCATAGTGCGGAAGATTTGGAACGAAAACAGAATACCAGCCGAATGGAGCCCTCGACCGTCATCCCAGATTTCAAAAAGGGGACAAGGACGTCACGTGAAACCCATCATGGTATAAACCTGATATCCGTCGCATCTAAGGTGCTCTCTGGCATTAATTTGTGCAGGTTGATGGATTATCGGGAGAGACAGATCCATGGGAATCAAGCTGGGTTTCACCCTGGTCGAGGATGCATCGACCATATCTTTACCTTGAGACAAATCCTTGAATAGCGCCACTCCTTCAGACGTCTCACGTTGGTCGTTTTTCTTGATTTGAAGGCTGCTTTTGATTCTGTCGATCGTCAGCAACTTTGACAGTGTCTGGCGACCAAGGGTGTCCCTTCCAAAAGTTTTCTCCCTTATGCGAACTCCTGTGGGCGCGTACGAGTATACAGGAAGCTCTCGCCTGATTTTACCACGTCCAGTGGTGTGGGGTAAGGCTGTCCTTTTCCCCTGTCCTCTCAAACTTTGTTATTGACATGCTGTTTGAAATTTTGCTGCCTGTCTCCGAAACCTCGGGAGTCGAAATGCTCCCTGGACGTTCCATCATGGGCACTGAGTATACAGCAGACGATAGTACTCTCCTTGATTCAGATTCTTCCCCAATACAAACGATTTTAAATAACCTAAATAACTCTGCCGCACGGTTTGGCATGTGCTTCACACCTGCAAAGTGTAAAGTGCTGCTACAGGACTGGGTGGGATCAAACACACACCTCATTCTTGCAAATGAGCCAATCGACGTGGTAGACAAATGTGTTTACCTGGGCAGCTGTATAAGTTCCGGCGGACTGGCTGGAGTTGCCAGGGAAGCTTTTGCCAACCTCCGACACCTATGGTGCCGTCGTGACGTGAGCTCGTCTATCAAGAGCAGAGTTGAAACTGCGGTGGTGCGATCCATACTGCTTTATGGATCAGAGACGTGGCTCCTACGCGCAGAGGACCTACGGAAGATCATCGGTGTCTCCGAAGTATTGGTCAGGTCTGCTAAGGTAAGCCAGATGGTCTTAGGAAGAAAGTACTCTCCCGCAATAGATGAATTGCTCATGCTTCATAGGTTACGCTGGGTAGGACATGTACTCCGCATGCCAGAAGACAGTCTACCTTACAGAGCTCTTCGCGCAGCCCTGTGCTGAGTGGAAGCAACCGAGATGCGGACAGTATATGACCTGGCAACGAATTATAATGGGATTAGCCAGTAAACTTAGTCGGGTGGGCAACTACCACCTCCCTGGATGGGGACCCCAGGACCCAAATCACCAGTGGCTAATGACATTGGCGTAAATGGCCCAATCGAGCCGTCAGTGGCGCTCGTGCATCAAAGCTATCGTCTTCAATGCGTAGCTACCCAATTTCTGAACAAACTGAACATGCCTTCGCCTCCAAGGCTTGGTTGTATGTCCACTTTCCCGAAACTGTAGCAGCTGGAACCAATATGCCTATGGCACACAATTTATAGCTGATAAATTGATTGATTGCTTGCTTCGTGCTCGACGAGTGAGCTTGGAAAGTATCCTTCTCAGCATCAGAACTGCAGTACGTTGGGACATACGCAGGCAATATGAACCGGCATCGTCTTTTTGACTGAACTGGATGACTGGACGTCGCAAACACGACTGTTCACTGGGACCCAATCCAGCAAAGCGCATTTAGCTCTGAGATTGAGTGAAACCCACACGCCATGTATTCCACGAGTAATCGCTTCCGGATCACCGGACAAACGGAGGGAGAAATGTGAGGGCTGAGTTGGCATTCAGACGCACAACCACGCTTGGGTCATGTATGCGTGTTTCGGGGACACAACAGACATCAATTTCAAGGGAACATGAGGTTTTAGCAACAGATATGGTTGCAACTCGATACCGGTGGCGTTCTTGTTGTCATTTTCTATCCAGATTGCCTGTATGCGTGTCTGGAGGTGTAGACACCTCGGAACGATTGTAGTAAGCTAGCAATAATTCCCTTATTCATCAATTTTTATTCTTTTATTCACAATAGAGCTTTCAAATAATTCACGGTTGTACGGCAGTGAAACATCAGTGGTAAACACTGACGCTGTCGATGTAAGTTTGAGATAAAGCAAAATGAACGTCAGTATGGGCAAAACTGACCCATAAATCGAACAGCCGGTCGCCTAAAGCTTCGAGGGGTGAAAAATCCAAATCATTCGAATTTCGTCGAAATCTGAAAATGCTGAAAACAGACAGATAAACGCGCGATGAACCCGAGAATAAATCACAACAAATAGCGTAAAACCACGGTATGTTAAACAGTTCGAAATATCATTAGAAAGCTCATTTGCATAAAATGGGATCCTCTGGAGAGCTAGTCCTCAGAAGACTGATAGGCTATTGAACACGCGCGAAGTCTCCGAGGAAGGAGGCTTGAAAGACAGAGACAGTCCATGTAAAAGGGATGAAAGGTGAATTCTGGTACGGTTTTAATCAACACATACATGGTGTACAAGGAATCACCATATGAAACCTGCTGTAGGAAAGAACTGCTACAACACATAGGCAATGCAATAACGTAGTGATTCAATGAGATAAATAACAACTCCAGCCCTAAAAGGAGTAGAAAGTGTAGTGCATGTGACAGAACTCGAGTAAACTCGAGACATAACAGGCAACTTGAAAACAAGGACAAAGATCTTGAATATAATCGTAGGTGTGGATGCGCTTTGGTCAATAAATCTACGTTATGAATGATCAAATAGTCGAAGACGTATGAGTAATTCAGACCCAAGGGACCAAGCATTACAGTCATGAACATAGTCACAGTCATTCAAATGGTGGGATTTACTTTTGACGACAAAGATGACACAAGCTGGTGAATACTGAGTGCATCATTTTTATGAACCACAGCCTACGCAGCTTTTAAGACATGAAAACAGATAAATGAAATCGAGGTTCCCACGTGAAGCCCCAGAGAAGACCAGAATTGGAAATTCTGAGGCGATAATTAGCTTCCGAAGGCTCAAAATACATGACAAAACAAGAGAGCAATTTTGTATTACGAACATATCATGAGAATGGATGGCCGTGTGCCAACAAAATACCATCATCTGCGTAATTCAAATCAAGTCTTTTTTTACTTTCACTGAGGTGGTGTGGTTTGAGCAACAGTCGGGGGAAAGGAAAATCGTAGTCGACTCTACTGGCGAACAAAGGCCGATAAGGGCGTCAGTGACTCGATATTCTTAGTATATGGCCCCACTATCGTAGTTGGTACTGCTTCCGAACTGAGCTATATGGTGAGAAAGATATCGAATTTCAAACACTCGATAGTGGACTTCATAACTGACAAGCTGTCCTAGCCAGAGGTTGGCGGTGTTTGGTAGGCAGCAATGATAAAAACTGATAAATCCAAAAAGCCAAAAAAACGGGATGCCTGACAAGTAGAACCGTACATTACAAAGACCAAGCAAAATTTCCGAGGGTATCGCTGGATGAGAGTTTGTACATGGGTTTATGGCAAGTAGTACGAAATACGTCCATGAATGCGACTCGGGGCCACTTTCGATTTTGCCTTTCAGTCATCATCATCATCATCAACGACAGCATGACATCAGTGTTCAACACCAATGCTTCACTGCCGTACAACCATGACTTAGTTGAAAGCCTTATTGTAAAGAAAAGAATAAAGGTGGATGGGGAAGGGACTTAGTGCTAGCTTAACACAATCATTTCGAGGTGCCTACACCTCCAGACATTCACTCAGACAATCTGGACAGAAATTGACAACAAGAACGCCACTGACATCGGTTGGCAGCCATATCTTGTAGTGTCTCCAACCAGGCTCAGTGAGGATCACGTGGTCCCCATCCTGGAAAACGAGTAGCACCGACAGCACCCAAGCGTTTCGTGATCTCCTTCATACTCCTCTGCCAGGTCATGGGTTGGCTACCTCTCTGATTACGCCACTCCGAATTGGGCATGGAAAACAGTACTCTCTTCGGCAAACGATGGTTCGGCATGCGTAAAACATGTCCCAACCAACGCAGCTTCTGGTGCTGGACACATTCTTCAATAGAAGTACCCGTTACACAACCGAAAACACGCTTTCTAACTGCCTCGTTACGGATTCGCTGACACCAACCCACACGAGCTATGGTTCTGAGACAACGATTGTCGAACACCTGAAGACGTCTCAGGTCCGCTGCTCGAGTAGGCCAAGTCTCACAGCCATACAACAAAACAGCCCGTACTGTAGCTTGATACACACGTCCCTTCAGATTCAGAGATAAACCATTCTGACGCCATAGGTGTCTCAAGTTAGCAAACACGGCCCGAGCCTTGCAGATTCGTGCATCCACCTCATCTGTCACACTACAATCAGAACTAATACAACTTCCAAGGTACGTAAAACGCTCCACAACTTCCAGTACCTCTCGCTGGATTGTAAGTGGCATGTTCAGTGACTGCACGTCCACAAGCATGACCTTACACTTTGTGGGTGCAAAGTGCATACCAAAGGACGGGGTGACTTTGGTCAGTTCATCCAAGAATACTTGCGCCTTTTCCTCCTCTTCGAACATGAGAACGATGTCGTCTGCATATTCCAGATCGACAAGGTTTTCTTCACAGGCTATTTGAACACCAGGGTTTTGGAGACCCTCCAGCGTTCGTCTCATTATTTCATCGATCACAAAGTTAAAAAGGAATGGAGAGAGTGGGCATCCCTGATGGACACCGCTTTGTGTGCGGAAGCTTTTGGAGAGCTCTCCGTACACTCTCACAGGTCCAGAAGTCTGAGAATACAAAGAACGTATTATGTATTAAAACTTCCGGGGCATTCTTTGGTGGGCAAGCGTCTGAAGAAGAACAGACCGATCAACCGAGTCGAATGCGCCTCGGAAATCCAGGAATACTAGAATCGTGGGTCGCTTATACGTACGGCGTTGTTCTAGCACCTGACGCAGTGTGAAGATTTGGTCAACAAAACCCCTACCAGGCCGGAATCCCGCTTGCTGCTCGCGAGTCAGCATCTCACGAGCCACCGTAAGGCGACGAAGCACAATTGACGCCAACAGTCTCCGGTAACTGATGGCAATGTGGTCGATTTGAGTTTGTGGCCGGCCTGTTGTTGGAGGACACCAAGTGGCCAGACGACTTCGGCTATTTCGGAAGTTCGTCCAGTCCCTTCGTGACGGTTTGCCTTTCAGGCGCCGACATGTTTACAAAATGGGACATAGTGAAGCGTGAGCGCCTTCATGTTTCGTTACCAAGTTATCCCGGTTGTTTATCCACTTTCCGCCCGGATCTATGCAATGGAAGACGTTGGGAGGTCATCCTGAATAGACCTACCAATCAATGGGGTCGACGCTGATCTATGGCATACACAATCAATGGGGGAAAACCATGACCAGAAGTTCAACTGCACCCACGTCCCTCAGCCACATCCCAATCAACCAGACGTACACAGTGGACTGTCAGTTTGTATCTATCAACCACATCCAAAGTCTCTAGACAAGCTTTCGATCTCGAATGAAACAAGGCATCGGAGCAGTAAGGCTTCAAGGTGGTGTTTAGTACTAGTGTATCGACGAGCTTCTTCGCTGGGTTAAGTGACTCCCCCCCCCCCCCATAATCCCTATCTGTAAGAATCAATGCACCAGCTGCAGCAGATGCCGTGGTTACCAATCTCCCCAACTTTGCTTCTAAAAATCTGACATCCATTAGGCTCCAGCGATACTGCGCGAGCAATCAATCCGTGAAGAACCGGCGGGCTTCCGACCGGGTCGAAGCTGTACTGACCAAATGTTTAAGCAACTGCTGGGGCTGCGCCACAAACTCACTGTCTCGTGAAATTAAAAATGGTCCCGACACTGTCAACATCAGCAACTTGTGGAAGTGTTTCAAAGAAGATGGGGTTGCGTCAAAATGTGGTGAAACTCTGAAGACGCAAGATACGCGTACTTTTGGGCAAGTTCAAGCGTACGGCGGACTATCCTCGCGTAATTGCTGTTTAAAGGAGGTTACGACAAGGCTGTCCAATACTGACGTCTCTATCTACGTTAAGTATACATGATGTACTCGAAAAAATGTGAAATTTCTACAAATTGCGGTGTTGAGCTATTAGCAGGGGACCCAATCGGAAGGCTAGGATACGCAGGCGATAAAGCAATAGTTTGTGAATGCGAGAACAGGACACAGGATGGCACTGACAAGCTGACCGCTTCCAACTCTCGTTTTGGTATGAGTTCCTATTCACAAAGGTTCAAACGTCCTAAAGTGGTCAAGCAACGGACACACTCTACCGATGGAGTGAGACTCGAAGTGGTTGAGAAGTGAGTACATCTTGGAACACATTAAGACTATTTGGCTCAAGTGTAAAATAACCCACCGCACTGCCGAAGCCAGAGCGACAACGCCCCGGTATGTGCTAATTCGCTATGGTTATGAAAGATTGGCTATTCAGGTAGACGACAAGAATCGCCCGAGTGCTGGATGATTAATGCCTAAGAAACACTACCAACATGTGGCGGACGTAACTTGTAACAGAACCCGTCAGCGCGCGGTCAAAGAAAACAATCGTTACGGATGAAGTTCAGATTAGCTTTTCGGCTCACAAACGGTGCACAGGTGCACGGAGACCAGCCGCTCCTAATAACCGAACATCACGTCAATTGGACGGATGTCACGTGCGGGCTACGGGCTAAACGAGGCATGATCTGAGTAGCCAGAATCAGGATAAAGGATTATAGCTCGGTGTCTTTTGCCCTCTCACGCAGATTCTAGCGCAACCTTGTGGGACATTCTGTAGTGGCCTTATAAATGCAGTTGTAATATTCTTTTGTCTCTGTATAGGCCTGCCTCAAGATATCGTGTCTTCTGTTATACCACAGTTGAACCATCGTTTTTAGCACACAGTCCCTGTGGACTGGCTGCAGACGAAATCAATTCCCGAAGAGGTCATGTCAGCAATTGCTAACCTCTAACATTGGTGGCGCCGAAATGACATCATTTTGACTGTTAGGCGTAGAGTGTACAATGCTACCACCAACCTGGTTCTCAATCCCCACTACATGAGACAAACAGATCCACTTGACGTCAATGAACTTATTGGGCCTCGCCACCAACACGTGGCTCTCATCGACTTAGTTCCTGTTAGGCAGGAATCCACGCGGATCCCACTATACCGCACGTCTTTAGGCGCTGCTACGGCCGAGAAGCCTAGCCCGCTCGAGGTTGGCCCAAAATTCGGGACGCTTGCCGGTCCGGCATCAAGTAGAGATCTGATTGGTCAACAATCTGGACCCAACAGCCAATTATGACCCAGTATTGGCCAAATGCCGGTTGCCAATGGAGCTCCAGGACGCGTCAGAAATTCCAGAAAGTTATAGCCGCTTACGCTATATATACGAAGCGCTGTACAACTGTTCCTGATTTCGTTTTGGGCGTTAATAGACCTTT